ACCACTGCACCCACCACCCCCTGGCCCTCTAATGACTTGGGGGGGGGGTTAAAGCCACACTCGGATCCTGATCACAGTGTGGCGTGTTGCTCACATTTAGTTCAATAGTGATGATACAAGGAGTGTTATTTTATGCTGAGCTTGCGGAACCCCCGCACCCCCCCAAAAAAATATTGCCTCTTTCATATGCACCCATTCATTTTTCTTCACAATTTATGCACCATCTCTTAATTAATTTTGTAACTCTTTTCAAATATTCCAGTAAAAAGTTATCTACATATTACGGGGTTGACAAAAAAACAAAAAAAAAAAAAACCAATTTGAATTGTTAAATCATTTTTTTTTTCATTTAAAAGATGCAAGTGCATCAGACTAAACCAAATCGCTTCACCTGAAAAAAATCTGGGGGAAGGGGATCCATACTGAAACGCGCCTAAAATCTCTTCACAATGTTAACTACTCATCATTCTGTGCATCCACATGCACGATTTAGCCCAATCCTGCTAAACCGCGATGAAAAATGGCCGCCCGTCTATTCATTCGGAATCCTCTTTTGTGTGTTGTTCACAGGGGGATCCACTTCCTGCAGCCCTGGTGGAGCTGGTTAGGAACAGTCCCATCTCCTCCATCGAAGACCTTCAGCTGCTTCTACTCACTGATTCCGTAGGTAAAGAGCTGCTCGTTTGAATTCAACTCGTCCTGCAGGAATCTTGCCATTTTACCGCGATTGTAATCATAAATAAGTTCAGTGTGACAAGTACGCAGAGCAGCGCATCAGAAGAGCTTGCGATCAATCATTCAGGATGTTAAAATGAATCACAGGTCGTATGTGTTTGCTGCTTTGTCTCAGATGAGGAAGAGCGAAATGGAGGTCACAGGCTACCAAGGAGTCTGGGTAAGTATCACGCCTCACCACTTTTTTTTTTTTTTTCCGAAGCATGTGTCACTTGTGAAAGATTGGCCTGCTGTTACCCCCACCAAAGGAATATATCACATAGCGTGACCTCTCTCGTATCCAAACCTGTCAAAAAAAAAAGACATGTCCAATAAAGTCTGTATGCGCATGTCGTGATAAATGCGCTCAAAAAAATGTTACTCGAAGCTTGGAGTGTTGGCACGGAGGATTCCTGATTTTCCTCGTGAATGAAGACGTACTCCATCTTCATTAGGCTGCCTCTGCAGGCCTTGATTGATGTCACCAGTGCGATCTTGGAGACATGCGAAAATCATTCCCATTAACCTTTTTATTCTTTTTTTTTGGGGGGGCATTCAATGATGATAGAGCACATGCCTCAAGTGGTCAGCATCCAACGTACAACAATTGGGGCACCGTGACGGTTTCCCCTCAAGCACGTGCAGACTTATATATATATATATATATTTTTTTTTTCTGGAATAAGGTCACAGCAAACCAAAAGCAGTAGGAATGGAAGTTTCGTTGTTTTTATTTTAAGCCTTATTCATTCATTTCCAAAGGAATAGGCATTGTTTGATTCAGCGAAAAAAAAAAACAAAAAAAAAGCTCAATGGAAAGTAGAATGGGAGATTAGTATCACTTGTTCTTTGTTGCTTGGTTGTTTTCATTGTGACGGCTTTGCTTCCGCGTGCAATTTCCTGTCTGTACGAAATGAGGATGACGTCATAAAAATATTGAAACAAAATCTCCGGCATTCTCGACTTCCTGGGATAATATCGAATACATTGAAGAAATACAATCTCGTTCAAATGCCTGTCAAAGGTTTGTCCGATTTTAATGATGTATGCAGCACACATTCCTGTAAACCATACATTTACTGTTCCATTCCAGAAATTAATTTATGATGCGAGTTCTCAGCAGCTAAAAGGGGGAACGTTTCATGCATGTCGAGAACACCTTCCAAGTCCAAATGAACAAACGACTGGCATTCATCCAATTTATCGACATGTCAATTCTCCTGTCAGTCGCCATACTCAGAATTTGTCTCTGTCTCCTTCCTCAGTAGCTCAGCCGGCCCAGCAGGCTGTGTGTAAAGTTCGCACGGAGGTGGTGGAGGTCACCAGAGCGATGTTAGACCGAAGCAATGCTAACTTCCTGCTCTGGCCGCCATGTGTGGAGGTGCAGCGCTGCTCTGGTTGCTGTAACACCAAAAGCCTGCAGTGCGTTCCCGTCGTCACGCACACCAGATACCTGCAGGCGAGTATTCACTGCTCGGATCGCAAACGTCACGCAAGGTGAAAGGCTATTCAAGCTAAATTGTCTCAACTTTTGTAGGTCATGAAGATCGAATACGTCAATAAAAGACCCACGTATGCGAAAGCGGTGGTGTCTGTGATGGACCACGTGGAATGCCGATGTCAGCCCGCTCCACAGCAGCCGGCGCCGAAGAGAAAATCCTCTCGCCGGCATCACGGCCACAAGAACCAGCATCGCAACCAGACACTCAATCAAGGACGCGGACAGGTATGTTCGAAATCGTTGACGCAAGCCACCCGCCTCGCTCAGTACTCAGAACGTAATTGCTGAATTTTACGATCAAGGTGAAAGTGCATACCAAGGATGAGCTCCATCAGTGGGATGAGCTGAAGCAGAATCAGGGTTCCCTCCTGGTGGACCTCCTGGAGCAGCACTGGAGTCCCAGAGGAGACACGTTCAATCAGCCCGGTGAAGGCTACAGCGTGGCTGGAGCGGCAACATCGCTACCCGAAGAGGACGTTCTCGTTGGCTCGCACTGGACACGTAACTCCACCGGCTTCCGTGAGACTAAAACCCAAAAGGAGAATAAAGAGACCAAAGAAAGGATGCCAAAAGGAAACGCCACTCTGGCTTCGGTGGATCACGTCGGCATCAATAAAACATTACAAGATGGTAAAGGGCTCATCAGTCCCGGGGGAATCACGATCGAGGGACCAAAAGGCGGGGATGAAGGTCCACAAATACACAGTTCATCTTGGCAGGAAGAAAAAGCTCCAATTCCAAAGCCCGTCACTCAAAAACCTCAAGCCAAGTGGAATCCAATTGAGGAAACCGTCGGCAGGTTTGGGAGCAAGCCCAGACCCACCAAAGAACCCAACCCGGACCCTCGGGAAGAGACCAGGTGGAGAGGCAACAAGACTCCAGAGGAGGCGAACATTCTCCAGATTGCGGAGAAAAGGTTAGAGGAGGAGAGGAAAGAGCTGCTCCTGCTACACAAGAGGTTGGACCAAGAGAAGGAGATACTCAAACAACAGCAAAAGAAACGAGAGGAGGAGCAACACCACCTGCGCGGTAGACATCGTTATCTGCAAACAGCAACGACGACGACGACGACGACAACTTGCCCAGGTACAACATAGTTCACATTTCTAAGTAGACTACACATGTTGAGGTTTTTGTGATTTCGTTTCATGTATAGATGATAGCAAAGTCAAAACGATCCCTGACTGAAAACACTGCAGTATGCATGCCAGGCCAGTAGGTGGCGACATGCACATCAACAGTTGACCCATCTTTCGGATACACTTCAGTTGCGGATGAGCTGGAGCAATAGGCGGAGCGCAACAACTGCTTGGATTGTGGATCGTGGCTCTCGGGTGTTTGTGGATCAACTTCAACCTCCCAACTGAAGATTTTAAATCGTGACTCACTTCCTGTCCCGCAGAGACGACAACCCCGGCCACCAAACAGCAACCGTCAGCTCCAGCGCGGCCCAGGCCTCCAGTACATCCGAGAAGAAGGATGAGGAAGAATCGAAAACGGATCAGCAAGGCAGCTATGAGAGCAATGCTAATGTAAAGCTTTACGACAATTCCAGGTGAGTTGACCGAATCCGACGGATTTTATTGACTTGAGTTTTTTTTCATCGTGTTTTTCTGACAATTCCAGGGACACAAGGTGAACTTGGCATATGGATTATCCAGTGTTCAACCTACTCCTCAGCGACCGTTTGAAGAAGCCATAACTACACCCGGATGGGAGTGAAAGGGAATAAGGAAACAGAACCCCCCCCGAGACTTTTCAGCAAAAAGTGGAAGTCTGCATCCAAAGACTTGCCGAAAACGTGTGCCAAATTTCATTGGGTGCAGAACTGTGGGAATCAGCGCAACGTGAAATTGCACTTATATGTCGACATTCAATGATGGCATTGAATGAGAACGTCCGTTTCCGAGAGACCGTTGAACCAAAGGCGGACTTCCAAACGCATACCGATGAGATGAGCATTGTCGAGGGGCTGCGCGACGAAGGTAATGTTGAATTGCCAGGAAAACAAGTGAAGACTTGCCGACCATATTTAATTCCATCTAACACATTGCAAACACTGGAATTAAGCGGAGATGTGATTAGCGTGACAACTCAAAACAAAAAGTGCGCACCTGTGGCCTTTCTGCTTCCTTCCATTTATTTATTTATCGCAACTACTACTAAGGGATAACCTTCTTCGTCAGTATTGAAAACAATACAGTATGTAACAGTGTCGTCATGCAAGTCAGGGTTCTAATTGAACAGTGTCTGTTACTTTTTTAAAAAAAAATTGTATCATGAGTGTGATGATTTCTTTTTTTTTTTTACGAAAGGTCGAACCTTCAGTGTGTTGTCTTGTTGAGTTTGTGTGTCAAGTGCGTGTTTGCTTCGTATGTGTGTGTTCTACTATGTCAGCACTCAGCGCCCTTCCTCTTATTTCAAAGAAACGTCCCTCCTCTACTGGTGACTTTTTCTGATTTTATATATATATATATATATATATACATATATATATATATATATGGCAGAAAGAAGCAAACTGTTGTTATTATTCTGTGTTTCAAAATTTGAAATCAGAAACTAAGTTATTGAAGAGCGTCTCTGTGCTCCTTGTCCACTGACCGTTGTGACTGATTTTGTCTCTTTTGCCGAGACTTTTGAGGAAAACTAACGATATTTTCTTAAGGTAAAAAGCTCACGTGCTGAAAATCATGTCGTTTTTTTTGCCTTTTTTATTGCATTCCACCAATTGACAATCTGTCGTCGGCGCGCCTCTTTCCACTTGAAATTAAAAACACGGCGTTTCCTCACCAACTGGGCTTCTCGACTGTAAATGCTGTACGGAACATGAGTCAAATATATGGGATTGTACAACGGATTTAGAAATGAGAGGTTGACGTGGAGGTGAACTCTCGCACTCTCCGTGCAGTTTGCATTTCACCCACCCGGTAGCCACAAGCATGATCATGTCATTAAAACGGCCGTCACCCGCTCCTGCTTTGTCCAAAACAAATGATGTTTTAGTTGACATATTTCCTGAGCTGCAGACCTGCCATACACACGTCACTCCTTAATTTAAACTCAATGTGCAGTGTGCCCCCCCGCCGTCGATCTCACACACACATAGCACTTCTAAACAGCAGACCGTCTCCAAATTCGACATGGAGGTGGGGAAGCCGGCGCTCCGCTCGTTCGGCACCCCCGCAAACTTCAAAGAGGAGCGAGGACGAGGAGGAGGAGGAGGAGGGAGAAAGCCACCGAGCTTGGCTGACTGTGAGAAGCATGTTCATGCTCATTTCGGACACACACGGGTCAAGCACTGTGACAATGTGGGCGTGTCCCGAAGGACCGAGGATGGTTCAAAGAGAACTAACTGACCTTATAGGATGATATGGTTAGTTGGGTCTCAACAACACTATTAGCCGACTAGAAAATAGGCACAGTATGGAGAAAAAAAAAAAAAAAAAAACTTTTACTCATAGAGGAGGACTGCACAAGAGGCATTTTTGAATAAATTATTTATTTTCGGTTTCCTATTCCATACATATTTGGACATTTGAGGTCTTATTATTTTTTTGGCGGGGGGGGGTTGTAGGTTTTATTTATTTTTTTCAGTTTAAAATCTGATTTTCACATTCAAATCTTTTTTTTTTTTCGGCGTTTCTGACTTTTGACCCTGATGTGGCATGGGAGGCGTGGTATCAACTGAGAAGGGCGTGGAATCATGAGTGGCAGCCGGACAAAAGGCTTGGAACATCCCCCCTCAGCGACAGTGCCTTCAGGGAACGCAGAGGAACTAAAACAAAATTCAAGTCAATGCTTATACACCGTAATCATTCTCCGATGTCAAAGACCGTGTGTGTGCCTCGCATGCGCTGAAAGGGAGTGAGTGGAGCCACTTTCATTGTCCAGAAAGTAAGTCGGCTGTTCACCCCCAGAATGGCGCAAACACCCTTTTTGACCTGTGCCCATCAGAAATCCATCAGCCAAGATGTGAGGTTGGAATTGAGATTTTCGGGGGAAAGTGTTTTATAATTGTATTAAGATTCACAAATCAGTGTTTGTAACCACAATACCACAAAGGCACTAATGTCCAAACCAGACCTTGGCTCTCACGGCCCACATTCCCCAAACTGAACAGTAGGAAACAAAAGGCGTTGCAACAGGAGGTTACGCAAGCGTCCAAGTGACACCACACACTCCCCGCACCTTCCAATGCCTTTATTTTCCTGTTTTGATGTCCGCCAACAGAAGGGGGACATGATGCACACAGATGACCAAGCGTGATCCGGCCGCGCTCTCAAATCAGTGGGTCCATTGAAACGCCCTCCTCTTGCAGGGAACAATAGCCTGACGCTGACTAGGAGACTCAGGAATGTCACGGTTTCTTTAGAGACTGAAAAAAGGATGGAATGCTTCAAAAAAAATAAACCAAAATAAAAACGAATCAAATAAAAGGGTCCTTCCCTTCCATTATAATTGCCAAGGTCAAACACACGCCCGTGTTTGCATTTTCTCATGCGTCTGGAAGTTCCCGGGATTACTCAGCAATTTGATTTCACTGTCAATGCATCACATTCACGGCATGCATTGTTTGTTCACAACGACCGACACAATATTGATTTTTGAATAATAAGTCTTTAAATCCTGTGATTGGCTGGCAACCGGTTCAGGGTGTCCTCCCGCCTACTGTCCGAAGACAGCTGGGATAGTTTTTTTTTTTTCTTTTTTGCGATGTCTTCCCAGAAGAGTACCAGTGATAGATAGTGAGGAGGAAAGTTGTGACGTCCACCACAAAACAAGAAATAAAACTGACCGAGACAGAGGAAAGGGTACAGCTGCTGGGGTACAATATATGACAAATGAATTATGCAAATAATAATCATAGCCGAAGCACACAATAGCTCATGACGAGCAGGAAAATAAACAGAGAAACTTGCCAGCATTTTTTTACCGCATTGAAAATAATAATTCGACTACTTAAACGGAACCTGGAAATGAAACAACCCGAAAGCCCAAACATTCTTAATGCTCTCATGCAGCCTCCTGTTCCCTGTCCATTACGTGTCTGTCAGGTGAGCGGTTTTACTTTAATTTAGTTTTAATGTGTTTTCAAGCAGGTTACTTGTCATTATTCTGATAAAACGTCAACTATATATACATATATTATACATATATAATACGATAATTTTCTATAAATTATGATGACAGCATCATCCCGGAACAAATGAATTCACTTGACATTGTTTCCTAGGGGAAATGTTGTTTTGAAATGAGAACAACTTGGACGTCAAACAGCGTCACAAACAGATTGTGTTCACATTTGGTTCCACTGTGAAGTACTTGGTGGGAAGGTTTTGGGAAAGACCCGTTTCTGTTCCAGCATGACTGTGCCCCAGTGATCTGGAGAAATACGAAAAACATTTCCATGGCACATTCCACATACTGCAAATGACGGACTAGCTTCATATTATTCTTTTTTTCAATTCCTAGGGGACAGCAGGTGTTTCGTTCAGTATTTAGCCCTGTTGTCATCCAAAACATGTTACAAAAAAAAAAGCAGATACACAGTCAAACTAGACTTGTTCCAGCATGACTGTGCCCCAGTGATCTGCAGAAATACGAAAAACATTTCCATAGCACATTCCGCATACTGCAAATGACGGACCACCTCCATTATTTTTCTTTTTTCAATTCCTCGGTGACAGCAGGTGTTTGTTCAGTATTTAGCCCTGTTGTCATCCAAAAACATGCTACAAAAAAAAAAGCAGATACACAGTCAAACTAGACCTGGAAAACCCCAACGAAAGCACAGGAGGAACATGCATGTCCTCAAAAGAAGTCCGCAAGCCGGATTCAAACCACAGTCCTGTGAGGCGGATGTATAATCACTCATCCAATGTGCCGCTTGCGCGTGAACCTTAAACCGCAAATCACACTTACATGAAATGTTTTATTTATGTTTTGCTTCATCTCTTTAATGTTTGTATAAGAAAAAGAGACACTGCAGGATTTCTGTGTAACGTCTGAACTGGACTTCTGCACCATTAAAAAAAAAAAAAAAAAAAGCAGTTTTTTGGACCAACCTCTTTCAAACGTTCTTAAGTGGTGTCTGACAGGAGGTGTTTATGTTTCGAGTGTTGTTTAAGAGTGCGAAGGCAGGTGCAGCACAAATCAGCCACGTCACTAAATTATACGGACACCCAATTATAACATCTGACACCCTCGGAATATTGATCTATTTCTACAGTTTTTTTCTGGTTGGAGGAGTTTAACAATGAACAACTCAGGCGTTTGACACCTCCGGTATATAAGCGTGTAAATTCATTATAGTGGACGGTGTGACCTATACAAAAAGCCTAATAAAGCTGTTTTATTGGACATTTCAGGCATAGTTTTTTTCCAGAAGAGTTTGGGAGGGCTCAAACTGGGCCACTTTTGAGGCAACTGTAACCCAACAAATTGGCTTCAACTTTTTGTACGGGCACCAATTACGGACACCCAATTGTTCAATGTAACCTAACCTGTTCACTGGCTACATGTTTTAACACACACACACACACACACACACACATCGCAATATAAAGGACATATTTTATAATATTCTGTACAGCGTTTGGCAAGTTTCAACATTGACAACAAGTTACAAAAAGGCACACCTCGATGCAAACACGCATACATGACCACATAGCAAACATCACGGTATCTATGAATTTATGAATTTCAGCACTTCACTTTTTGGCTTTTCAGTTGAGGCAACAAAAGATAATTAGCATAGGAGATTTTGTTTTCTGATGTCGATGAGATCGGCATGTATGCGTCCTGTGTGTAAACAAGAATGCATCTGCAATGACATTAGGTACAGTCGCACCATCGAGTGAGTTTCGAGTACTTTATTTAAAAACAACATCTTAAGTGCTCGGATCGATGAAAAATTCTCCGTCCTGTCGAAAATGTGAATTGTTTTCGAATGCATTCCCCCTGTTGATGTAGCTCACGAAAACTCTTGAAAGGCTACTCCGCGCGATACAAGGAAGTTCGACGGAAAGCTGCAGCCACAATTATAAACATACTGTTAATTGAAGATCTCTCCGAGAGGGAAATAACATGACTATTTGCGCTATTAGATTGGACTAACAGTGATTGTTTCAGTAAAAAGATGCTGCAACTCCTTGACACAAGATTAGTTTTGGTTTCCAGCTAACTACTGCCCCCCACTGGTCAGATGTGACACACCAATTGGATTTTTTTCTTTTTTTTTTAGGCATTTGGTATGGGAAGTAGTTTGAGCTTTTATTCAATATCTTTTCAACAATTGAGCATTTTTCCCCTTGTGGTAGTCTGGCCCTAAATATCCCAATTCGTGCTACAGGCAGTTGATCTGCCTCTTACTCATGGTACTCGTAAACAATTTGGGCCTTAACCTAAGGGTGAAAGGCATCCTTTTGGTGGCACTGTACTTGTGGTGGTGTAGCGGTCCATGCTGTTGCCTTTTGCGAAGACGGCATCCGGTGTAAAAACGACACCAGACAATTCATGCGAGGCTCTAGTGGGCGCTAATTGTTCTACTTGCCACTGAATTAATTGTCTGACTTTTAAAGAGTGTCAGCAACTAGTACATGGACCTTAAGCTGGATGTCAAGGATAATGAATAAATGCTCAAATGCCTTGCAAAAAGCAAGCTCCACTTCTCTCAAGAGGGAGGGGGCAGAAGACAGTACCCTGAGGCATTTACTGTGGGGCAGGAGATCTCTGAGCTGTACGCCGGAGGCGGGTCACCGCTGTCGGGCCTGATGTCGACCATCTTATCGGACCACGCTGTGTTACCTGCACACCGGCGGTTCTGCTCACGCCTTTGCGTGTTTGCGTCGTTGTCCCAGTGCGAAACGAGATCCGAGGTGGACGTGGAGATGCTGCCACGGGGGAGGCACACGTAACCTTCTCCGTTCATGGAGAAGACCACCGACGGAGGATCATCTGGTGAAGTTACTTTGTTCTCCGTTGTCTCTTCACACAAGCGTTTGGAGTCGAATGACTGACAAATAGACATATAAAAGTCAGCATAACATGTCATTCTAGAATCTTTTTTGTTTTTTTTTTAATATGTGCATTGCACTTGATATCATCACAGTAAATGATTGTAAAATGTTCCTGAAACATTTTGGGTGACATGTCGGATGCAGATGAACAGCTGACCTGACAGAAGATATATGGGCCGTTGAAGTGCACTGGGAGGTCACAGCCATTAACCTTCTCAGCAGGGAGGGCCACGCTATTACACTTCAAGTCCTGTCGGTCCTGCTCCAAATCTTTATTTTCTGCACCCTCAGTTGGCCGCAGCGAGGAGCTTGGGGAGATGCTGGGGGTGGAAGAGTATTTTCAGGAATCTCACGGATGAATTCCGACTTGGGTTTGACGACACAGGAGCAAAGCTTTCAATTGTCATCGTGGTCAAAAAGTGAGAGGTATTACCATCTCGATAAGTTGTACAATTGATGCACTTTGCAGACGTAAGTGTTCTCGTTCTCGATCAGGGCCCGGCTGGTGGCAGACTGGATCATAGAAATATTTTTCTGTCATCATAAAGTACAAATGTTAAATCAAGATTTAAAAAAAAATAAAACAAAACAAAAAAAAAAACCCAAAACATTCCCACCTTGATCTCTGACAGGGTTTTGCTTTTGCCGGGAGAAGGAACTGCGCCCACCCAAAGAATCATTTTCCTATTTGAAGATATTGTGGAATTTCCGAAACAGAGAACATTCAAAACAAAGCAACTTGGCTGTGCTTGAGATATGTAAAATATGAAACGCTACAATTATATATCTCCACCTGTTTCCCACACTCATTCAGATTTCAAGACAATTCAGCGCCTTCAATGAACCAAACGTGCGCCTTTTAGCAACGTGGGAGCAGAAATTCCACGCAACAATTTGTACCGCAATCACGGCACAATTATCAACATGTGAGATATCAATTAAAAAAAAACAAAACAATATGATGCAATATGTTTTCATAAAGGGAGTGCATACAAGTACCTTTTGCAAGTTAAAACGGTCCAGGAGAGAAAGATGAAGACGATGACCACAATCACACCGACGCCGAAATAGACGATGACGGTGATGGGCCACGTAGCTACCAGGGAGAGGGGGCAAAACAAGATTCAGATATTAAGATCGGTTACGGAACAAACAGAGACGAACATAACTCAGTACCTGCATGCGATGTCCAGTCTTCTGGCTCGGTCCACTGGGAGGGACTCCCTTCATAGAGCGAACCCTGTCCGGGGATGACGACGGATCGGACTTGGACCCGGTGGTGCTGGGACGGGTTCAACAATGCACCCGGGATGCTTACTGATGTGGAGCCTTGTGAAATGTTCAGCAAGACAGAGGCCCCCTGCAAAGGGACGCATGTCAAAACGGATTGGAACTTTTTGTCCAACTCTTTGTGAAACGACCGAAGGCGGGACGTCACAAAGCAAACTGCAGTTGGAAGTCACCTAAGGCAAAATGCTGCATGTCCAAAAAAAAAAAAAAAAAAAAAAAAAAAAAAAAAGCACGCAGCAATACAAGCGAGCACCGGAGAAGTTCATAATAAGAAGATAAACAGATGGAGAGCATAAAACACATTTATGAGTTGAAGCTTTCCCAGTGGTTCCAACATAAAAGGACTCATTTCAAGGTGTCTGCTTTATTACCTTATCCTGCGTCCTGTAATAGCGCACTTGATAACGCAGTCTGACTTTGGAGGCTGTGCTCGGTTCAGCCCATTCCACGACCCAGTTGTTGCCTTTCTCGCTCACTCTCACCTGCTGCGGTGGCCTGGGACAAACTGCACATGACCACACATTGAATCGCTGTTTCGTAATTCCATCGAAACCATTGAAAGAGCGGCAGGTTTGTGTCTCGACGGCAGGGGTGCCAAACTCCTTTTTGTCGGAGGCTACATTGTAGTAACGGTTTCCCTTGGAGGGCCGTTATGAATTTTGGGAAACCATAGAAATGTTTAATCACCTCCACATATTACATACACAGCGCACAACCAATTGATGAATAACGAGTTTTAAAATCAGAAGTCAAGAATAATGACTGTTATTGTGGATTACATGTGACAATTTGGAAATTTTGGTTCAGACTTTAGCAAGCATCATGGAACTTGACATGTGTGATTTGCTTTCGCGGGCCACATAAAATGATGTGGCGGGCCAGATCTGGCCCCCGGGCCTTGACTTTGACACCTGTGCTAAATTTTAGGACACAAAAATCAGCAAATTCCAGAGTGAAAGAATGACATTTAGGGCATTTCTATTTCTGTCAAATATCAAAACAGGTCAAAACGCAGGCAAGGGTTAAGAAATGAATTCAAAACCTCATCTCTCAATCAATGATCTTCAGTTTCATTTCGACGTGAGACTGCAGTTATGCCAGTCAACACTAGGTGGAGAAGCTCAATCATTTCACCACGGTGATTGGTCTGAGCATGAGCCATCAGTTTTTTTAATTTTTTTTTTTTTTCCCCTTTGGCATCGCATGTCAATCACTCACTGTGCTCATTGGCCCTGAACGTCTTTGCACTGCGAGTTGGTCGAAGTTCCAGAAGCAGATGTGCGGGCTTTGCGGCAAACAGCGAGCAGCTGTATCGCACCAGCGCCCGACTGCGGTCGAAGGTCACGGTCGGGTGCATGCAGCAGATCTTAGACCTACAAGCAGGAATCACAAAAAGGTAGGGCGTCAACATATGGAGAGCAGTTTCCACCGGGTTCTATTTAGACACGTACACGCTTGTGCACACCCACCCACACCCACACCCACACCCACGCACACGCACACGCACGCACTTGACTCACGGTGTAGTGTGGTTGTGCTGACAGGCCAGCTGGTAGGTGATGATGTGATCCAGCTCTCGGCTCACCTCCCAGCTACACATCACCTTCTTCTCGCCATCCAGCACACAATACAAGTTGGGAAACTGTCCACTGTCTTTGCCCAGAGAAACAGAGTGAGAGAGCTTTTTTTTTTTTTTTTTTTAAAACCCAGAATACATGCACAAAGGACCCTACAAAATGAACTTAATATGACGACAGTGATCGCAGAGATGCCTTGGTAGATAGATGTGTTGACTTCGGTTCTGGTCAGACTTTTTTCTGCTGCATAGCAACAGTATAATTAGCTTAAAACGTATTTCCCATCAGTCAATTAATCCACCGTGCTTTTTTTTTTTTTTTTTTACATGAATTCGTCACATCTTCTTTATTGTTCATTTCTTTCTCTGTTTGACTGGCTGGGGAAAAAAAAAAGCCCAACTACTAGTCTCAGAGATGATAAATACCATAGCATTGATGAGAATGTAAATGTGAAACTGCAATGTTAACAAGGTGCTATTTTTATTTTTTTTCCACAGTTTAATCTGTGCCGCTCACCTTCTTTCATACTCCACGTCAGCACGGGACTCCATTGACTCCAGTGGCCCACGCTGGCCCGGGCCCTCACCCTGGCCTCGTACTTATGACCCGGAAGCAGCAGTCGTGTCTCCAGTTTGACCTCTGTGCCGCTCACATTCTTAATCTGCGGGCACGTTCACAGAAACGAACATACAGTGTAAGAGCGACACCCTCAACCGCTGGCCATTTCAGTAGGACCTGCTGAGATTTCAAAATGGCACGCCTGAAATTTGTCTTGTGCTTACAGTCCATGCGTCTTGTCTTTCTGCCTTGTAGCCGAGTTGGTACATCATGTTTTTGTTCAGGGAAGAAGATGCGGGATAAGGACTGGACCATTTGATCCCCAGCTGTCCATCTGCAGTGTCGTATTTGGACAAATCCACCGGTGTGCGTGCTCTCACTGCGCAACACATAAACACAATCGCAGTCATCTTATCGTTTACCCCCCCTCCCCCCCACGCGAGCACTTATGTATTGTTCATAATACGTGAAGACAAGTCACCAAGATGAGAAAGCTTCAAGGGCTCGCGTGGGGCGGATGAGCAGAGCGCCTCATCGTCCTTGACGAAGAAGACCGTGTGTTGAATGCCGATGGAAAAAGAACGCGTTTCATATCGACACCGGACGGTCCTGTGCCCATCCGCATCTCGGACCTTGGCGCCAAAGGGCTCACATTGCTCCCTGCGAGCACAGGCAGGACTCTCCACAGTGACATTTTTCTCCCGCCGTCTCAATCGGATCTTTCAGTTGTCCTTACCTGCCGCGTTCTGTGTGGAACCAGAGCTGCAGTGGCGCGCGTATGTGCGGCCCCTCCCTCCACTTGCAGTAGACGTATGCTTCGTAGTCATTGTGACACCGCAATGACTCCATTACCGCTGCAAGGAGACACAAACGACTCCAAAATTCCGAATCATTTCAACATCATATTTTGTTGGGAAACGTAGGTAAGGAAACCGACAGCTTTAGATGACTTAAATAAGTTCGATTTTACCATTGATTTGAACAGCACATATCCAATGTGCAAAACAAAAACCAAAAACCAATGTGAACCCAAATGAGTGCTTCAATTTGCAAACTCTTAGAAGAAGGCATCACTTACCGTCATGTGAACTGTAAGCGTCCTGAAGTTCACATCCGTCTGGCTGAGAGACGAGAACCAGATGGGGGAGCAGCGACCAAAGCAGCACCCAGAAAAGAGCCATCGAACGTGGGTAAAAGCCGCTGGCCCTCATGGCCTTTTCGGCTCCTCTCAGTCAAATGTGTGTTCTGACATCAGGCAGAAGTCTGCTGATCAGATGGAAGACAAAAAGAAAAAAACACAGAGTCAAATTAGGCGAAACCATGAAAAAAATGAGTCACAACCGCATTATGGCGCTCACTTCTCCTTTGGGTAGTTTGCATGTTAAGTTTTTTTTCTTCATTCGTATTTTTTTTTCCCCCCTAACCACATCCGCTCGCCTGTTCCCCTCCACATGTGTTAAGTCCTGATAAACAAAACGATTCCTTTGGGATTACAGCGACATAAAAAGACCGACAAAGACTTAGAGAGGGTGGGGGAAGGTACAAGGGAGTGTAAAAAAAAAAATAAATAATAATAATAATAATAAAAAAATCAGCGGCTGCACACTCCCCTCATGTTGAAAAACAGCCACATCTTGAAAATGACATCGATGTACAGCACACTGACAAACTGGGCCAGCATCAGTTTTGATGACATTCAACGGAGAGGTTCTCGGCGGGAGTCAGTCACAACGACGAGTTCCATAAGCGCAGCGTCTTGTGATTTTCTTACCACGACCTTTTTTTTTTTT